CCTGTGTTAAAACCCTAATTAATTGATAGGTAGGAACAAAACAAAACGTAGGTAGAAAACAAGGTTGGGATTTTAGGTAAAGTGTAACTGTAGGAAGGACTTTACATATAAKGTTCTAAAAAATTTTATAAATAGAGTGTGAACTCAACGGATTACTTCCGTTTAAACTGAGAACAACACAAGCGACTATTAAATTTATCGAAAAAATCCTTTATAAAAAACATTATTTTTTTTTGAATATATTTTTGTTTATTTATTATTAATCTTTTTGTATATTTTTTATCGGTATGAATATTTTATATTAATTTATAAAATGCCAAGAGTATTTAGACAATCGCAGGAACAAAGRATGTTTTGAATCGAAGGCGATAACAATATAGCCAAAATTTGGAAATAAATCAAATGAGGAACGCCGACTATATTGCACAATTACGCAGTTCAAATTTGGAGTTCCGTAATGCAGAGTAGCAGGACCGCGGAGCAGCGGAGCAGGAGCGCGACACAATAGGACATYCAATCAGGCGCTTGAATCCGGAATATAGAGYTCAGGAGCAGGAGCGCGACACAATGGAAYGTTCTKTAGGACGCCAGAATCCAATAAACAGAGAAGAAGAAAGGCAACGAGATACAGCATTGAGGAGAAGTCGTCGAGGAGATCCAATAAGAAGACGTCGTGAACAAATTTTAAATTCTTCTCAAAGAARAGTGACACGCCAGCAAACCAGGCAACAACTTGCAAACGAGCAGGAATCGTAGGAATCCTACTCTTTGATTGCATAGGTCGGATCCCGCAAATCGTCAGTTGGAGAGCGAAAGGCAAGCGAGGAGGAATATCAGAAGACGTCGTGAACTTTGGAAGATGCTAGAAAAATTTTTTACTTGTCATCGTAGTTTCTATCTTCGGACCAAAAATATAATTTTTGCAGCACCTGCTATCGGATCGTCAAACAAGGTAAAATACYAAATATCTGCCTCTTAGAAGGATTAAAGTTTCCAGATATTCCGAAATGTCTTCAAGACTTAACGTGTCTGGAGGAAAGGCTAATATCCCCTAGAATTCCATTTATGCGCMTCATATCGTTAGGATATGAACGACAATGTGCTATTCGTGGAGCAGTAGTAAATCTTCCGATTTCTGTTGTAGAGACAGTGAATAGAAAAATTCAATTCGATAGGATTCCATCTAGATACTGAATTAATTGATCTATTGAATTTTGCAGGATTTGTAACAAAGCTTGTTTTCCATCAACAATTGCCTTCGATGCCATTGGAATAGCTGTGGCGAATTTTGAAAAGTTGTTTCTGCGGATTAAAAAGTTGCGTTTATCATTAGAATAAATTTCTGTATGTAATATTTCCCCAGGATCGGAGGTTTTTATAGCTCTGGTTTAGTCGGATGCCGTTCGTACTTGGCTTCTTTATAACTTTTGCGGTTGGCAGTAATTTCCTTCTGCATATTTGGAAAATAGTAATCGTTCAATACATGTTTAATATTTTCTCGGATATAGCGATGTGCTCTACTGTGTTCCATTGCCAGTATTTCGTTTTGGGGACCGATTGATTGCTGCGCGAGCTATTCAAACACGGTCACAAAGAATAAAGAGCGTGTCGAACAATTGGAATTTAAGTGTGCTCTGCCCAATCCCAAACAGGGAGACCGTCAAAAAACTGATTTCACCTTATCAGTTTGTCTTTAGACCTGGAAAATTAAAAACTGACCAGATATTCAAAGCTACATTTGACACCACGAAGAGCAGCTGCCTTTATGCCCCGTTGTCTGAACTTGGTATCCCCGCAAAACTAATACGGCTGTGTAAACTGACGGTGACCAACACCAAAAGCTCCGTTTCAGATAAGGTGACTCTCTGTCGTGTGATTTCATAAACCTACTTCTGAAAATAATTATTCAAGCAGCATAACTAAACCGAAAAGGAACGAGCTTCTTATATAAGAGTGTATAGCTGCTGGCGTATCCTGATGATATTGATATCATTGGCCTTAACAACCGCGTCGTTAGTTCTGCTTTCTCTAAAATGGATAAGGTAGCGAAGCAAATGGGTGTGGTGGTAAACGARGCCAAGACAAAACAAACCCTCGTCGCACTCGCGACTAGGCACCAACGTCAATTTTGGCAGTCCTAACTTCGAAGTTGTAGATAGTTTCGCATATCTTGGAATCAGTAACAACACCAACAACAATGTCAGCCTCGAAATCCAATGCAGGATATTTCTTGCCAACAGGCGCTACTTCGAACTAAGTAGACAGTTAAGAAGTAAAGTCCTCTCTCGACGAACAAAACTCTATAAGTCACTCATTATTCCAGCTCTGCTATATGCCCGTTGGCCACCGCCTCACCGCAGTCCTTGTCTTTATTTTAACGAAGACATCAACCAGCTGAGCAGCCATTAAGGGATCGCACAAAACTGTGGAGGGGTTGTTTCTCCTTCTGACTTTAGTTCGCCTTCATATTTAGTCTGGGACTGGAAGTCGTAAGCTGCTTGAGTCATATGTAAAATAAAATCATTTATGGCCACTCATAAGTAATGACAAACAGAGAGCTTCCCTCACTTGCGCGAATTTTTTCACTTGACTCCATCCTCCTTCTTCCAAAGTCACATTGAGACGCATTATCATTAATGTGTATTTTTTTTTAATTTTGCTTTCGCGAGGTCTTATTATTGTTTCCCTTTGACTATAGGTTTGGGATGTCATTCGGGTTCTTTGAGAATCACGCTCATCCCTCCAATTGGTATTATAATTCCCTCTTTGCCTATAGTGCGATGCACTCGGAGCAACCTCCATTGGTGTTTTCGCGTCTAAATATTTTTTCCGCTTGTTTATAATGACACGAGTAGTGTGGAGCAATTGTTCTTCTACCTTTTTTCCCACCTACACTGAATGTATTCTATTGTAGAGTGAGTTTGCAAAAGAATATTTTACGTGATTTGCTTCCTATTCTTGTGCTAATGCCAAGCCACAAGACATATCTTTAGGTTGCGACGCTCACGGGATCCCGAAAGCCAGATACAAACCCTTCACAACATCTGCCTATATTTCTGGTAAAGTGACTTTTACAGGTCTTTTTTTTCCCACATTTAACATAATGGTTTTATTTACCATCAAAGTTAATTTCTTTGAAAATTGTCCTAAAACTCAGCAGTTGAAAGTCTTCCTTGCCTAAGAATTAACATTCTTTTTTAATTAAATAGACTGGTCGCTTGTCAGCATAAGTAAAATCTAACTGCGCTTTGATTGACAAAGCTTGGTCGGCCGAGCTGATGATTTCATTTCTTATACTACCGCTTGGTAGTGCTTTGAACTGCAAGTACTTGTGTAGCGCATTTATAGGCAGCCTTGACTCCAACTAACGTACCGCAATCTTTTACCACTGAATTGCGAAGTCCATCACACCGGTCAGTCGGGTCTATTGTCACTGCTTCATACTCTTCCATTTCAAATTAACCCTCTAAAGCTTTTAGGCGTTCTGTCAGCTGTGTTATTGTCCTCTCGAACGATGGTTTAGTCGCTTCTGTAACTGCAGTGACTTTAGCTGTCACTATTACCCTTAGTGTCTCCTCATTAATTTTAATGTCACTTATTTATTATTACTATTTATTTTGGATTGTATCAACCATTTCGTTTTGTTGAATTCTTTAGCGTACTTTTTATAGGCTATTACCCTATTAGCCCTATTGGTCACTTGTATTTTTGTTTGCACTTTAAGAAATTTACAAATTTAGCATACCCCTTTTAAAATCTTATTTATTAACTTTAATATATTATTTATTTTTTCACGTTGATCACTGAGTATTTACATGATTATAAATTATGCTGGCCAATTGTCCTTGTGACGCGTCGCGCTATTCCTGTAATCCAGCAAATCCTCAGTATTTCTTAAGAAATAGTTTTCATTCAATCTATCGTTTCGTTGGGCGCCAATTATGGGTTCTGATCTATGTGCTGTTTTAAAAAATGTCGATATTATGTCTTCAGCATTATGTGCTTAATAAAAAGAGTGGGTTTCAGGGGGAGCGAGCGGTATGCGCTTTATTGCTATTTCCCACTCTTGGTACAATTTTGTCGTTACTGCCGCTACTGCAATTGATGTTGTTGTTGTTACTGTGGCGTAACCTTATCCAATTTTGCGGTTGTTGAAAATTTGATGGGAAAACGCTGAGGCAGACTATTCCCCCGCTTACTGGTGGCGTGGAGTAGTT